GAATTTTATTCTAAGTAAACAGTGTTGCCAACAATGGTTGTTTATATTATTTTATACTGGCAAAGATGTTTTACCGTGATGTTTAATGGTTTTCGATATTTGGGCGTTACTCCCTTCCGAAATATTTAATACGAACACGAGATGCTCTTTTACTTGCTTTAACATCAGCAAGTACGGAGGGACACCTGAGGTCTTCCTCCACCAGTAACGCAGGAACGTCGTCAAATGACATACTCTGTGTCAGTGTGACGTAAAACCCAATCAAACAAACAAAACAATCAGCAAGTACATGTATTAAATGTATTCAGTATTATATATGATAAGTAATAAGATAAGTTTTGAAATATAAATCACCCATCTTGACACATTTTTTTTATATTATAGAAGGTGAATTTAAATTTATATGATAAGTTTTCAATAAAGTACATTTAATGCGGTAAAGTTGTTTCTGAGTGTCCAAACCCCCGTTTATCTTTTAAGTGATAAAAAATGACGGCCATGTCTATAAATGAACTCGTTATGAAACTTTAACCGTTAAAGATTGCGCTACACAAGAATTGAAGGAAATATTGTTTGATAAAAGTACATTACAAAAGTACTTAAATAATTTATATAAACTGATGGGTGGAATTGGCATATGTGCGAATGTATGATTTGTTGTGAAGATAACATAAAAAGTGTTTAAATGAGCAAGTGATATCTTTAATTTTGTTTGATGCACAAAATGATAGATCTATATATAAATATTCATTTCAAGATTTACAAGAGCCAAAAATGCTATTAACTCTTTGGATATTTTATTCCTTATGTTAAATAAAAATATATAGTATAATAATCTCGTTATGCACAATTGATGAGACATAATACTATTGGACTTGTAATATCTTAATATTTAAAGACAAATTTGGCAATACATTATCAAAAACTTCTATTTTATATATCGTTCGATCAACCAATGACTTACAAAAGAGTTTTCCGAATAACATCTCTATCGTTCACTTACACATGTTATTGAAAGTTATTTAGATACAGTATTAAAACTGATTTTATAGTGACGAGTTGTTAGTTATAAAACTGTCTCAGTCGTTCATGTTTCTTATTCTAAATTTACGTTTTGTTCATATTTTATTTTTGGTAAAATTTACACAAATCCTAAAATATGATAAACAAGATCAACAAGGAAAGGCGGTGTTCAACGAACGCAACACCCACACGACCCAGCGACAAGGAGCACAGGAGGACCCCAAACAAAAACAGGACATGACGCAATGCAGAGCAAGGACAGGCCAATCACTAAAATGATACATAAGAAGAAATAATTTGTAACTTTAAGGAAGACAGAGCAACAAGTAGATCACCTATAAGGGCCTGACGAAGCAAGACAGAAGACGAACATTAAGGCAATTCAGTCCCATAGGGCTTTAAGAACTGTCCATTACAGAGTCTCCCACTTGGTCCGTCAGATGTAATCAAAGGATGAAAGCGTAGCGTCCAACCGTAAAAGGGTTGAACACTAAGCATGCGGTATGTCATAAAATAGTAGGGTCATAACTCTTTTTAATAAAACGTTTTATAATTTTAGAAAAAATACATTGACCCAAGATCTTACGAAGTTTGTAAATAACATCCCCGTAAAGTCAGACTGGCTAATTCTTAGTAGCAGAATTGTTTTTAGTTCACTATTGAGTTTTGAAATAAAATCACAGTTACGATTTTACAATTTTGTAAAAAAAATACCTAATTGATAATAGCGGTTACCCTGTTTGAGTAGCTTACTAGTAATGAAAGTATTTCGCTCGTAAAAATCCTTTACATTGCTACAAGCTCTAGCGAATCTAATTAACTTAGATACAAAAACCCCGTAGGATGTTGCATGCGGTACGTCTCCAACCAAATGTGGATAATTTACTACACCAAAATCAAAGTCATCACATTTATCATGTATTTTCGTGTGAATAAAATTGTCTTTGATAGTAATATGAAGACCCAAAAATGATGTACTCAAATTTCAAGATTTCGTTTTATTAAGTTGTAGCTAAGTAGGATAAATATAAGACACCATTTGACCAAAATAAGAATTATATTAATTAAAAATGTCATCAAGGTATCTGGAAGTGTTATTAAATGCTAATATAACATCTTGTTGTGTATTTTCAGAGAGACTCAACATAAAGTCTCTTTCATAGCAAATTCAAAACATATCGGCGACCAGGGGTGCACAATAAGTACCCATATGATTTATTTAAATAGGGTATTACCAAACCTTACGTAAATATTGTCTAAAAGAAAGAGAGTGCTCTACAAACTTAGTCACATGTCCACATAGTATACTGTTTTACAATACAGTTTGTAAAGAAGGCTTTTGATAGTTACATGCAAGAAATGTAACTCTTTCTCATGCAAAGGTTTTCTGAATGAGGGAAATTAGTTTATTATTAATTAAATTATGTGGCTGTGTAGTATAAAGAGTAGAAAAATCGTATCAAAACAAATTTTGAGTGAAAAGCTAGAATATCCTCTTTTAGATAAGTCTCGGTCTAGGTGGAATCGCATGACCTTTTTATACAGAAGGTAACAAGAAACTCAAACTCAACAGACTAATTGAAAAAGGCTACTGCAGAATCAAACAAACATGATAAATTAGTTCTTTCAAAACAGCGATTTTCTACTATCATTCTGTTATTATCAGAGACATTTATTGCTTATATAATGTGATCTAAGAAAATATTATAATAAATAATGTCATGGAGTATTATAATTACACTGTATTATCAAATAATATTCATTTAGTACAAAACAAGAGCTGTTAATAGGGATAATGACTGCTACATAAAGTGCAGATATAAATTTGAAGAACAGGATCCTGCCTGCAATTTGTCATAGCAATATATGACAAGTACATTATGAAAATCAAAAATATAAGTATTTGCTTGTAAGCTTATGAAAATATATCACTAAAATAAGTTACAGAGAAAAAGTTATATCTTGTTTTTTTTACGAAAAGGAATATGCATTCGCCGGGTAGGAATACATGACAATGCCTGTGCATCCGCAACCTTAGATGACATTGAATTACCATACATTCCATTTGCATTATCGGTTGAAAAAGATATTAACATCTTCAGCGGTGGGTTAAAAGACACGCTGTAGTTTGGCATTAGCATCTGCAGTAACAAAAATGACAGTACATAAAACTTACTTTAAATAAATAAATAACCTCAATTCCTATCTCTATCACAATGAAGTAGACTTACATTGACATATGTAACACTATGTCTCTTAAAGGATGACATTTTGTCTAAATGTTCTGAAATAATATTATTGACAGTTGCTTTCATGTTAGACAAGGGAGAACGTGCGTTACATCCTAAATTACCTAGTTTTATGATTGAAATAAGACTTGGCTACTTTAAGACCACTACTTCCACAATTATATTCAATTATGTAACCATTCCATTATGGAGTAATAAATTGTGTAAAACTTATGAATGACCAATCTCGATAACATGACAGTGTGAACAACACTTTACACTAAATAGATAAGACCGTAAAATTCAGAGCTTCTGTTTCACTATTAGTAAATCGTTAGAAGTAAGAATCAATATCTAGCTGTCAGGTCCCTTTTATCTTCGCCGTTTAGTGTAATTATCAACTATGTCAAAAATTACTGACATTTTAATAATGTATCGGATAAAAGCGAGAACATTTAGCAGGTAGGATGCTACTTTCGGGTTAAATCTGTAAATTAATCTAAAAAAAAAGCTGCAATCTCATTGATCCAACACAGTAGTCGACAGAACAAATTATAAACTCATATTTACTGGGTGGAGTATCGTATTCATAGGCTGATTTGGATTTTCCCTATCTAAAAATAGATTGAGAATCATATTCGATGACTGCGCATACAACATATAATTGTTGCGTTTTTTACTTTATGGGATATTTATCGATTAAAATATCATTACTTTACTTTTATAGTTAAAAGCTACATTGCAATAATGAGTATAAACCTGAATTACTTTTGTTTTCGCGGCGTTTGCGAATTCTTTGAACGCCTGACGGCATCTTATTTACGTGCGTCTTTTCCCCACCGCATCAATAAAAACATGCAAAAGTTGTGTTTTGTATTCCCTTATAAGGCTTTACTTAGTGTAATCTAAGCATTTTCATATAATCGCATCGGTCTATATGCCATCTGCCGGTGAATATCACATCATATTAAATGACTCACTAGTCAATAATTCTTTGATATATATGGCATTCAGTTGAAAATATAAAGCTACTTATGTATGCTTAATGTAAATGTCTCATAATATCATATATACACTTATTAAATTTAAAAAATGATACAAATGTATATGGGTCAAAAGAAATTTCAGGACATTTAAGATATTTCTTTGATTTTGATAATCGATGGATACGAGTATGTGACTTACAATTGAAATTAAACTTGATTTAGCTTAACGAGCAATTTGAATCTTTCAAGTGCCATAAATCACTGTTCATCCATTTACTTAAATTTAAATGATGGTTCTATTTGCTTATTTGAATGCTTGATGCAAGTTTAGAGTGTATATTATCTTAGTATCAAGACTTAATTCTTGTGTTCAGGAATCTATATCTACCGAAACAACCAATCATTATTTTGTACTAAGCGGCCTCTACATGGGTAAGTTTTAAATGACTGTATGTGTGATTTTTTTTTGTTCTGTTATTTTGTCAATGATTCTGATGCTCCCTTGAATAGACAATACTATCTGCATTTTATTGAGATGTTTGTCAAGAGCTTTATTAAATCTTGCACCTCAACACCAAAAGGTACAAGTCCGATAACGCATTATAAAGGTAATAGTCAGTTGTGACAGAATTTATATTAATTCTATCACACTATCTGATAGGTGTATTTCAACAATTCTCTTTGTGTGAAAGTGATAAAAGTCAGGTTTTAAGTTGAAATTGCCTATAACAGCTTAATAAAATATAAGATGACACTTTTGTGATATTCGCACAATATTCTTTATTCAAAACATACACCAGTAAGATTATTTCAAGAAGCAAATAGCTATAATATTAATTTCTAACAGATTGAAAGTAAACATAAGCTCACCAATGCTTAAACGTTTAGTTAGGAGCATCGCAGTTCAGACGATTTCATTATTCATTGTACAAATATGAATTAGAATTATCCCTTAAAAGAAATAAAACCATTTGAACTGCAAGTGGGTATCTGTAGTTTAGTTATGGCTATCAAGACATGTAATGACACCATTAACAATATAAGTCAACAAATGTTGCCCCAAAATCTTTTTGTTCGGTTAAAACAGATAATTTATTGTCGTGATATTTGGACGGTGTTGGCCTGCTCTCGTGTTATATGTAGATGAGAGGAAGTGTGTCTGGAACAGAACTTTTCATTGTCTGATTTTTAACGGGTCCACGGTATGCAAGACTTTCTGTAAAAAGGATAAAAGCATTCAAAAATACGTACACGCTTTAAAAGCAATTAGATTTGGGAGTACTCCTACTGTTTTGTTTTAGGAACGAAATTTGAAGACAATATTACATCATTTGTAATAACATAAACTGATACAGAAAAATAGTACGTACAATTATTTATGTTATCATAAATAAGCAAGGACTACAGTATTGAAAACATATTATAAGAGGTCGAATGAAAATTATACTATGCGAGTATCTGGCGAGCGTTATGCTATTTGTTCAACTTAATTTAGTAATGAACCTATACGAATATAATATTTTATTTATTACATACCCAAAATATGAACTTTTACAGTAGAAATACGAATATCTTTTTTCATTGACGCGCCTATTGTGTACGTTAATTACATTTAGATAGTATAACACAAATGACGTCACATTAAAATATGCACGGCCGTGCAGTTCCATTTATAACCGAGTTGCAAATTGGCACGGGAACGTGATAAAAGTAAAACATGTTTAAGTCACATTACCTGAAATAGTTTCTTTCCCAGTGGCAAATGTGTCCGGTTCAAAATCTTTACGACTTATGGCATTTGCAATTGTGCTTCTCTGGTTGATATTGCAGCGTTGTACCCGCCGTTATAACTAAGACGAAATCTAAACGTCCCTTCAACTGCCTGCAAACATTAAAGTGATAAGTTATATTATATTTTAATTTGAAGATAGGAATGATATGATATATTTTAAACAAATGTACTCATATCTTCACAAGACTTTCCAAACTGTAGGAGGTAAATTGAAATAATTATGATATTTTAATGATATTTTTCAAGTTATGACGTTTGGTCTATAACTTGAACCTGACTGTCATCGTTAATATTTTACTAGACTTTGTAGCTTATTATTAACCAGTATTCATATAAGAAGCATGTGTTGATTAAATCTTTTAAGAGAGATAATATATAAATGTATACCTTACATAGACCAAAATAACAAGTAATTCTAATTATGAATTGCTGGCGGCTTAACATTATAAAATCATTTGATCAATTATCTGTTTAGGACAACATTTATGCGAAAATTATATCGATATTGTATTTAAAACTTAAAACATGTTGTTGCTAATTTAATGATTGGTTAGCAAAGACAAGTTTCAACAGTTGTAAACGAAATATATGTTTTACGCACAGTTATCTCTGAAAACAAACTTGCCTTTCAAAGATATTGACTCTTTTACACTTAGCAAAATATTCATTCATTAAGGCGTGTTACAGATCATAAAAGTTCACGGACAGAATTATCTACCAGTGATGTGCAAAGGAAGGATGGGCTTTGTAACGACATATTTTAGATGGATATTTGTAAGAGCAAGATCTACATCAACATAAACTAGATTAAGATACCAATGAGCTGTCTAACAATAACACCTCTCTGTCTGTTAAAGAACATTGTAACACCCTGTTCATCTTGTCAATTTGTATTTACAGGAGAAAAAATGCACGAAAGGTGACTGTGTTTTTGTCTCTTAAAATGTTACATACTAGTAAACTTTAAAAGTGCAAGTCTAAATTTAGCACTAGAAATGCTGACAATAAACCCGCAAGCTCGTTTTCAAGCATACATACATTTTAAACGTTATTTTTGGTATCATGTAATAGTTATTCAATGATGGAAAATTGATTTGTGATGAATATACAACACTAGCTGGAAAGCTAAAGTCATATACATCAATAAACTATTTGATTCACAAGGTATTAAATAGCTTTAGTATTTTTTATAATTTATCATCAAAATATCGGAAAGAGAAATAAAATCCAATAGGTATTTTTGCAGGTCTAATGTTTGCAAATGATGCTGTAGTAAAGATCTATCCTTGCAGGAAAGTGGTAAAAGTTGGAGGTTTTTTAAGCTTATTTTCATATGCCCCCTGAATGAGAAACCGACCATGTACGCCATTTCAAACTGACATCAAAAACGTTTACGTTGTCGTTGAAGTTAAAAATCAAAATCTGAATTTCCCTCGATATGTTGAACATAAGTATGAATAGGTAAAGATAAACGTGGAGTTAATTTGTTTTCTGCTTTCAAGAGCTGAGAAAAGTTGAATATCTAAAAGATGTAAATATGCCAATACAAAATAAATAAAAGACATTAAGAGTTGTTTTCACACTGTAAAAATTTCAGCTACAGTGAAACCATATTCATCCTCATAGACATGGAACGAAACATGTTTGTGCCAATGTTATTAATACATTAATAATTCTTGTGTGAAGCGGAAAAAAGAAAATGTAATAGCTCGTGTTACTTAAGATATCTTATTGTCATCCAGACTTCAGTTTCCATATGTAGGATTTTTATCATGAGTTTTATCAAGAAATCCTTTGTCGAAAGCTTTGCAAACCCTAAGTTTTCTAAACGGATACCAGAGATTACTTTCAAACGACGTATGCAACAATTTCCATTTCATTCTAGATAATTTCTAGTTATTTAATTTAACCCCTGTCAAATTAATTTCATTGCCAAGTTAAATATATATTCGTTGCAATAAGCGATGTAATCTGAATCATTTTCTTCCTGTATAATTTGCAATAAATTGTAATTATTATAACGAATTCCGTTTTTTATATTAATATAACTGTTGATGCATACATAATTGTATTTTCCTAAATTGAAGGAATATTTTAAGGATATATCTCATTTACGGTTGAAATGCTGGTAACAAATACCCTCAATCTGTTTCGAAGCAATTATAACCTATTGAGCTTTTTATATGTCATAGAAGCAAAAAGAAACGCTGTAACTAGAGATATTATAAGCAAATTTGCCTGTCAATTTATAGATGAATCTAAATGATGTTTTAGACCTACTGATTATACTACAAAGTTCTTTAAATACAAATAAGTATGAACCTAGTTCTTTTATTGTTAATAAGTATGAATATAGTTCTTTTATTGTAAATAAGTTTGAATATATTTCTTTTGTCTTCAATTAGTATGAATCTATTTCTTTTATTTAAAATAAGTATGAATCTATTTCTTTTATTTAAAATAAGTATGAATCTATTTCTTTTATTTTAAATAAGTATTTATGGTAAAAAGGTATTTTATTCTTTATCTAAAAGGGTGTTTTCGCTGATAAAATTTCAAGTTGCATGTAAAAACCGTATGTCATTATTATTATGAGTGATTAATTGATTTAGATTAATTCTAAAGCAGAATATATATAAGATGGTTGCACATATTTTCAGTTTGTTTGTTTATTGTTACACATTTCTGTTCTTATCTCGTCGGTCGGTCCACCTGGATAAGTGACCAGTCACCAGCAATTTCTCCGCAAGTGATCGACTTTTAATCTCTCATGATTCAAGTATCAAATTTACCTATTGTAGTATATTTCTGTTTATATCTTGTATCGTGATCAACAATAGGTGTTATATTGTTATCTTGTTATTGTCTGCTCTATACTTACAAGAGAAGACGAGTCTGATCCTGATGTAGACATTGACACAGTGTTGATATTCTCGTTCAATATAGCTCGACGGTCACGCACACGTCTAAGAGCTTGACGTACCTTTTATAACACAATATTTAAACGAATGAGGAAAGATAGCTTTCAATGCATCACTTGTAAAACACATAATACAAAGTTAACAAAGCAACATTTTAACCTCTTAGTTTATCTTCAAGTTATCTTCGTCTTATAAAACGCTTTATATTGGATAACTATTAATCTTTAGTAAGCAAATATCTTAATAGTCATAACTGGAAAGAATGAACTTTGTTAGGCTTTGTCAGACATTTATGACATATATAAAATAACATTTATGCACAAATCTTTGGATTTGCAGAAATACACTTATAACATTATGTCATAACGAGCAAAATTATCTTAAAACTAACGAAATTGATATCAACATGTACTTACCTCAGTGTTTAAAGCACAGTGGAATAGAAAAACAAAGAAACCCTGAAAATATATGTTTTGAACATCATTAATTAGCAGTGTTTTTAAATGTTATAAATGTTATGTTTTAAATGTTACATAATAATGTGTTTCGACAGCACAGTATAAATATAAGTTACAATTATGTGTATTTGTTAGTCTGCAGGTGACAGCAAAGTCTACCAATGCAACCACTATAGACAAAGAACATACATGCCCACACTGTTCGCTATTCAGTCAGTATATGTTTTGATATTTTGGTTGGTAAAGAATGAGAGATGAAGAGTCCATTTAAGACATTGAGCGTGATGAGGGATAAATCAATATTATACAGAAATGGAAGGAAATATTAAAATTTATAATATCATTAATGTATAACGGGATATATAAATATTTGTAATAATAAACTGTAAAATACTCCAATATGAATGTTAAAGTGTTTTGTCACTTCATTATGACAAAATAAGCATACGTCATCGTGATATTGGTACCATCATTTTATGCCTAAAATCCCATTTATAGTAGGAGTGTAAGATAATTTAATTTGTTATATTTTAAGAGAATATCTTTGTAAATGTAAACAGGTTGAAAGGCTCGCTTTGATCGAGTCTGTTCATGGAAAGTAGTGGTGACTGTAAGCTTCCGTCCATGCTCTCTAGCATCTAGCCTTCATAAAGTACTTTAAGATGGTTGAAAAAAAGATATGTATTGTAAGGGAGATAACTAAGATAAGATAAGACCAATGAATAGACTCAATGATTTGTCTTTCGACTTCACAACCCTAACGAGTGTGTAAAGTAAGCTCTTATCTATCGTCGGTGTATGAATTATGTGCATCATTGCATAATTATTTATATTGTTTCACAAGTAATTACTAAACAATGATAATTAAAGACACATTATGCCTCAGAAATACATATATATCAAATTCTTTAGAAATGTCATGCGTTAAATAATGTTTTAATAATTGATTTAGATCATATTAGATGTTTAACAGCTGAAGAAAGTGACCTTGAAAGTGCAGTAATGTGTCGTTAATAAAGCAAAATGTAAACAAAGTAGTATTTGACTTCAATACAATATATGTATACTAATTCACTATAATTATATCAATTAGCAACAAAGCGAAAGAAGCAAAGTCAGTTGATATATATTGCAAATGATTCTTTTTAGATAAAAATGATAGCAGTTCTGAGGCAAAATGGGCCTAAAAGTTTGACAAGAGGCGTTACCTGTAATGAATTACTTGTTGCAAAGATGTACTCAAAGACGATGAGACGTCGGTTGACGGCAAGGAGACCAAATATCCATGTCAGTCCAAGTAAATGCAGCAAGAATAGTGCCGCTTTGATAGCAGCTCTTAAATGTAGATAATACCAGACAAGAATGTAATGACATCATATAGATAAATGTAAAATTTGTAAAATGAGTGCAAATATACAACACTAAACAGTATTTGATTTCTGCTTTAAAATAAAAAAAGTTCAACCACGTGTCAAATTATCGTAATAATGTTATCATTAAATTTTATACACCATCACTACAGCGTTCATAATTGATTTTTTTATTCAAATAACAGCATGTATAAGCCAGTATCACATAATTATCTGTATTTTCCGATTTCCTTAAAACATTTTCAGAAAATCGTGCTAAATCATATTCCTACGAACATTGACTTTGATGTAATACCGTTAAAAGTTGCAAGAGGATCAAGTCATGTTATCATAAAAATAAAACGACATTAAGGTTAAACCGAAATTAAGTTAACCGCAATTTTATTATTTTATGAAAATAAACGTACCTCATTTGATCCTTTTTTGAGTTACGATCAGTTTTTTTTATCACGACACGCAAAACCATGATTAAAATCACTAGGTTAACCTTTATATAAACATGATAATATAAAACTAAAAATACATTGTATATAAAAAGATGTATTAAAATAAATGTATCAGCCTTGTCAACCAACAAAATATATACAAGTATACATGTATTAACTTAAATAGCCTCTGTTGCGAAGTGGTAAAGGTCACTGTATCCGGACAAATGCCTCGGGCAGCTTAAGATTCGAATTCCGCCAGGACCTTTGATTTCTTTCATGTGAGAAAGTTATAAAATTGGTTCCAGAAAAAAGGTGACACTCTTTAAGCACCCACTCGTCTTTTAAATAATGCACATGCAGGAACCTGCAGAATTCGTCTATCAAAAAATATGAAGAATCGCTATTTTAATTTTTATTTAAAATTAAACAATGATATATTAGTATTTACAAGAACAAATATTAGCAAAATTTGTTTATTCTAAAGATACAGGGATAGATAACTGGTATAGATCTATCAAAAATATATCAACATATTACATACACGAACACGGTATTGGTAACCTAGCTTGTAAACAATAGACTACATATCAAACATGAAGTCCACATGAAATCTCTTAATCGCTTTGTCAAACTTTAAGCTTATTGACATCGAAAATAAACTCTTTGATTATTTGTATTCGACAAACAAAGGAAAATGAAAACATTTTCCTCACAAGAGAAGCAAGGAACTTGAAGATAACTTTATGTTTACAATGTCGACAATGTTTATTAAATTGTAAAGCAAGCACCTTAAACATAGAAGATAGGAGAGGATATAACGTATATGACTAAATACCACATACCACGATCACAGCAATGGCCGGTCCTATGAATGCCCAAATAGTTTTCCGGTCAATCGACAACCAGCAGCTTTTTGTACGAAAAATAAAAACAAAAAACAATTTAAGTTTCCTTAGTCAAGAATTACATGCTCTATATCAATATTGGCTTAATGTTTATATCATTTATATATACTCTTTATTTGTAACTTAGATACCTTTATAATTAAACAAAACATTCTATACGTACATATGTTACTACATATAATAACATGGTTTTGCAGAATTGTGAAAACAAACGTGTCACTTTATATATATCAAAAGTGTTATTTAAGATAGCAATTAAAACATAAATGGTCACCTTGTTTCTGTTCCATACCCTTCCCAGTCTGCTACAGACGATATAATAACGAGAACTAAAGGAAGCCCTGCAAATATTTTATCATGATAGACAAATATATCTTCCATTTTTGCAGCAATAATAAGGTTAAAAATGTAAACTTTTATTGAAAGAACATATTTCACTCACCACCTTATGCTCCTATTTTCACTAATTTAAGATATTTGACATGTTTAAAGAATTTCAACTCTTCAGTGAAAGTAACGTAACTAACATTGTTGTTTAACTTTTATAATGAGTTATCTTAAGAGTTTGAATTCACTAGGATAACATGGCTTATTTTTTATTCTAATTGAATAGTTGTAATCATAATATATAGATATAATTTTAATTGACGTATACATATCTGTACACAAACACGTAATACATAAATCATAAGTCATGGTACGATCATATTGAAAACAAACGTTTTTAAACAAAAATATATTTGATATATATGAAAAATGTTCTTAAATCCATATTTTAAAAATAAAAACTTGGCATTGCTCTAATTAATACGTTGCAAAAATGACTTTCATATATTTAATATGTAGTGATTCAAAATACATGATAAATACAATACTGCCGCTATTAAGGAGCAAAATTATCATGCACATACTGGTAGAAATAGTTCTTTAAATGGTAATATTAATAAGGTCATATCGACGCTTAGTAGCAAAGATGATGTATTTAGCAAGTCTTACTAATTCGGATTTATTTTTTGAATTCAAAAGCTGCACAAATTTAAACATACTCGGCCTTCTGTAAAAATATGGCTTATTGAACTCCTAACATAATGCAGTTTAACAATTTCAAATGATAATAAAATGAAACTCATCTCAATTTGTTGTAATAATATTTAAGCATTATGACATGCATGTTACATATCTTACCCCATCCAAAGCAAAGATAATATGTGTTTCGCGCATTATCTGTTCCGAAAACCTGCACGACTTTAGTGTAGAGATGAAGACCCTCTACCAACATCCAGGCAAATATCGACAAAAAGCAGTAATGTAATACTAATGCTGTGATTCGACAAACCATCTAAAATCAAGAAAAAATGTCAAAAGATCAGGAAAAAGGGTAATCCCTTGGAAGCATTAATCACAACAAATGTGCATGAAAATTGCAGATTCAGCCGTTTGTTTGAGTCAGTACATAAAGAATAATGAAAAAGCGCAAAATCTCTCACGCGCCCTAGCACCGGCTTGAGAGGTACTCAATTTTCAACACTTAGATGTTACAAAGGCACACTTGCCAGTAATCTATAGAAACACTTTAACATATACGATTTTGTTGCTGACATCATATTCACGAACAGTAGTAATAATAGTAAAAATGGTTGTACATTAATGCGTTAGAGACGGAGGGAATTACATGCGTTTTCATATAAATACGTCAAAGTCTATAAAATTAGCATGAAAAACACACGACAGGTTAATTTGACCGTTACCTTGTGGCGAGTAGCTTTTCCGGCGGCTAAAAATAGAACCTGGGAACACAATATTGCAATGCATAGGTTCCTATGTACAAAAACCCTCTCAGAATTCAACGATCTATAAATAAAATTAGACATATTACTAGTCATACAACTGTATAAAATTAAAGTTACTGTTTCTTGAAGGTTTTTGCATATTGGAATGTGCTTACTGCTGTCGGAAATAAATCAGTAAATAAAGAATTTCGTCGCCATACATTATATAGTCCTACTATATACCAAAATTGTTTTCTTCTGAATCTTTTTTTGAAATTTTCACAAAGACAAACTGTACGTTCAACACAGAAGAAAAGAAACAGAAGCAACACAATAAAACTGTTATATACCGTTTATATTTAAATGTTTAAAAGAATAAAAGTAAGTAGGACCAAAGAGATCAAGTACAAAATAATGAACAACAACAAAATATATAAAACAAAGGTTAAAAAAGGAACAAACCTTATGCACGTGAAAACTGTGAGAGCGATAAACATTGTTACTATAGAGATACTACAGCCTATATATGTTATAATACTAAGAGCCACCTCATCCTCCTTAGATATCTAAATATAGAAATAAAAAGAATATTTCCAAGAACTTGTGTCGCGTTAAATTAAACACGAGTCAATATAAATACAATGTCAGGCTTCATCACGGTAATAAATTTTGACCTGAAATATCGGATTATATTAAAATGATTATATAATTATATCCTTTTGATGGAGTTCATAAAACGTTATTTAAGGAGATCTAACATTGAAAGATATCTTGAGTAAAGTTGGAAGAAATATTATCTTTTAATTAGCTATCGTAAAATACTTTAAACGAATCAGAATTAAATGTCTTTATATAACATTATTTTTGTATCTGAAAACAAATTAACTTTTTACTTCCAAGAAATCTGTTATATGTACATTAACAACAATAAAAGGTTATACCTGATACATATGTACTTTCATAATAATTCCAAAACTTGTTGTATGGTTACATGTACATTTTACAGTAAATAGGTCAATATCTAGTACATCACAACCAGCAGACGACCAAACCCTACAACATGGCGACGATCACGTGATTCAATGTTGTCAAAAATGCTGACAAAATGCTACTATTTAAGTCATGATGTAATTAAAAAATGAATGATCTATATTGCGTTTTGTTTATAACTTTATATACATGATATAACTGAGTTATGTGACATTAGATTTATGCCCATCCAATAGAAAGTCAAAATATTTTACATTTTGTCATGAATGCCTTTCATTTTTTTGTAAATTTATTTTGTATGACCAATGAAGTTTCTGTAGATATTTTACAGAATTTACCTGTAACGCGTTAAAAGAGTGAGACAATCATTTTATATATTTCACGCAGAATAATATTCTAACCTCGAAATAATTATCAACTGCTGGTCAAACACTATTATAACAATTAATCTTTGGAAATATATGGCTAATTCAGCTTAACCTAACAGTAAAACAAATGAACATAATGTCACTTTAATATTCTAATTATATTCATCCACATTGCACCTTCTAAACCTATAAGACCAACTAACGATACATTCGTATTAAATGTTATTGTTTTGTAAAATATGTGCAAGCTTTTAAATATTTACATAAGAAAAGTTCAATTAAAAATATTACATACTTTCTTGTTGTGTCATAGAAGGCGCAGACAACCTCATGTTGTGTTATATTTAGATGCCTTTCTTTAGCCTAAAGTAAATGTAGACATTTGTAATAAACATTGCACACATTGATGAACGACTATATATAATTATAATGTTAAAATTACAGTAAAAGCATTTGTTTCAGTATTACTTTGTTCTGTTAGCAGTGATTAAGCAGTTATTTACATCTTTTCAGAAACATGTAATTCTTCCTTAGTGGAGAAAGTGCTATTACTGAAGACAAAATATAAACAAAAAACATTGTTAACTTACAATATCACTGGCTGTATGATAGGTCATAATAAATGTATGGCCAACTGATGTTTTCCTGCCATCTTGAAATGCACAAATAATCAGCACTGGACTAACGAGATAGTACTGGACAAATTGAACACTGAAACTACAAATTGGAATCTCACACTCTGAACTCAAATGACATAACTGAAAACTTTACATGCAGGACAACGTATTTGAAAAAATGATAAAAATTATAACATGATATTAGAAAATGAATTAAAAACATCATATCATTTTCAAGATATTTAACAATTTGAAAATTAAACTACGCATTACGTATTTGTAATCTGCAATGGACCGGATTCTAAAATATTTAAAATAAACAAGTAGTTACTTTTTCAAGTCACCTTTCCATACTTAATGAAAGAATTTGTAACAGTTACGATCGGAAATACTAATAATCATATTTCTACATAGAAATATAATAATTATATAAATATAAATAAAAATACATTGCGTATTGTTATAATTATTTTTATACCTTTTGTCTGTTTCAACCTCTAAGATTTCCTCATTATTAATGACAGCAAATACTATGTCAATATCTGTAATCAATGATTCTCATACAATTATTAAAACATTTTAAAATCGAGTTGGTGGACGTTTGAAGTTTGACTTCTTAATGATATAAAGTCATTATCATCAAAACAACCTACAAGTATTATATTTGACATGAATAAAAATTACAGTTTACATAAATGATTACTACTGTAGAAAATGCATATTAAGATCAGCGTGCTAATTCAGTTAACTTGATCTATATGAATGTTTTAACTATTTTGAAATGGGCAATGTCAAACGAAATCCAACATACCACCAGACGTTGTCACTGGTCTTATTTGATTTACCAGACATCCCGTTATTTGGCTTTCAAATGGAAGTGTATTTTTACTTGCTAAATCGGATACCAAATATCGTAAACGGAGTTCTGAAATATAATAATCTTTAGATAGTTTCAATTTGTTTATGGATTAGAAAGATGTAATAATTTTAACAATTTACAAAGATTTTATGGCAGTTAGACTTAAAACCATTCATTAAAAATTTCACTTTTTTAAATACCTTTCCCATTTTACCTCATGCAGTTTTATTGTCAACATTTACGAGTATGTAAAATTTAAATTTTTTATCACCTTTGCACTTCAATTTATATCAGACTGTGTTAAATTCACAGTATCTTTAGTCATTCAAAATCGTACTGTTATGATATTAAATTGAGCTTATAAACAGAATTGTAGCTATTTGCAAACACTCCATGCAAATAGTTTTATCATCATTGTAAATCAACCTATAAAATTCTGATTGAAAATGTTTCATACACAAACTAACTTACCTATCATTTGTGAAATAAAATGCAAGCTCTCATTCACACTGATGTTTGATAATAAATAGGTCTGTAGCAGTATCCTTTCAACAATCAAAAATGAATTCATTCTGGTCTGAAAGACAATTTCAAAACAGATATAATTGATGCATTTGTTCTTTTACAAACCGTAGACAGTTTCTACTCATTTGTATATTTGACTTATTTTATCGCTATATACATTAAGTCACATAATGAAATCTAATAAAGATGTATTAATCTCAACTTGAGATGCATAATTTCTTTTAAGAGGCATATATTGAAAGACTTAGATGACACGGAGACAGAACCATAACAGAACCATATATTATATGAGTATAATAATTAAATGGAAATATAAAGCTGTTTCTTGAAGATCGTTTATTTACTTTGTTTAGTGCAAGAATTACCTGTTGACACAAGGAGAATGTCATGTTCTTTTCTACGAAGCTTTCAAAATGTTCCACAAAACGCTGAAAGATAAATTGAAATCTTGTGTGACATTAGCATTTGAAACATGAAAACATAATGTTAAATAATTCATTTATTCATTCGGTTATAAAGATTTCGTCCAAGAGATTAATATTCTGTCGAAATAGTAGAACTGTATGCTTTTAAAAATCACCTCTTTGTGAACATTAATATAATACTATTGCTTCTGTAATACGTGTTCTATTTACTCCTAATATTTAAAGTTTAATTACCTACAATACTGGCTTTTTTAATAATCAAAGTAATTATAAATGTTGTTCTTGATCATTACTTTATCATCATTTTTTTTAATTATCTCACTCATTGGCCTAATTCGTAATCACTTTACTGTAATAAGAACTTTTCTTCATAAAAGAAAATGTTGACTTAGCTAATGCTTTCTTTCGTAAAAGAAACCCGCACATACATTTTAATTTTCAGTAAAAGCAAAAATAAATGTAACAGCACATATCAATACCTTGTAAAATTGATTGGTGTAAAGTTCAGCTCGGCCTGCGTTGTTATCGTAAGGTCGGTGGTAATCAGGATTACATAGACTATCAAATGACAAGAAAATGTCTCGTATGCAGTCATTAACATATTCATCGTTAAGATCAGTCAAACACTGAAATGACAATGATTTTATTACAATACTGTGTTCATGAAGTTTCTAGCATTAATACCGTTGTCATGCAACAAGGTGGCAAAATTGCTTAGCATAATGAGTTCATATCATCACAGCAATTGCCTTAATCAATGCTCGCCTTTGACATTAAAGTAGTTGTTACTTTTTGAACCTGTTCTAAATTTTATGCTCCAGTACAGCTTTGTGCTCTTACAGTCTAAAATTAAGGCATTGTGAATATAAAAAAAAACAACTGCTGACCATCGATGTCCAATTATTATTCGGTATTCTAACATGTATCGGTTGGGCATTCTGTCGTTCAAACACATTTCTATTGCTCTTTTGTTTATATTGAAAACGCAAAAAGTATCATGTCCTTATTTATTTTAATCTTATTATTAGATTTCTGCTTTTTTGAAATACACTCAATGCCTTTTGCCATTATCATTGCGGAGGGCATAAAAACAGAATCCCTAAAGAACGTCCAAAATGTCAAAACAGAAAATATTGCAACTACTTTCAAGCGTTAAAACAGCTTACTTCTACCAAATGTACCAAAGCACCAGGTTCTTCCTGTAATATTGTTGTAGACTGACTGACGGTCGTACTGTACAAAGTTTCATGGAAGCCAGGAAATCTTTCCGTCGGTACAATCATCGCTGTTGTACCTCTGGTTTCCGGTGAAATACTTGTGTATACATTCTTAGATGTAGAAGCTGGCGTTGGTAATTCTATAATAATTACTAATAACACATTATAATATAAACAATAACATATTTTAATAATACGTTGTGTCTTGTTTAATACACGTACTACTAAATGTTTTATTAAATTATAGTATTTATCTTATTGAAGAGTTTTGAAATTGTATGAACGCCTACCTCGATTTATTGCTTTTTCACAAAGTCCTTGCAGTTGTGTGTTACAAGGATAACCTCTGATTTCCACTTTACCTGTTGTTTCGTTAATACTTATTGTCCCACACCCGTTGCTGTAATTAAAACAACGCTTAAATATTAACCAGATAATTTGTCATTTGTCAGTATACAACTACCAGGAGAAAATATACGAGGGCGATACAGTTTGGCGTTGTTACAAAAGTCTTCACGTTTGTTTGTTTGATTGGGTTTTACATCACACTGACACAGTATAGGATATATACGGCGGCGTTCCAACTTTATTGATGGAGGAAGACGTCAGGTGTCCGCCGGCCAATGAGTAGAACCACCAACGTTCCATAAGCTAGCTGGATAGCTCCCTCACATTAAAGAATCCAAAGTCCTTGTCGGGATCCGAGCCCACAGTGGTGAGAGGCGATGAGAGGGGCAAGTGGTTTGAAGCCTTAGCCTTAGCCACTCAGCGACTGACGCCCCGAAATCTTGACATTGCAGATAAATATACACTAAAAATATATAGAGGTATACAATATAGCCCAATTGAAATTAAACTTTGATCAGGGAATAGTATTATGCTCACGTGGAATTTGCCGCTTCGGCATCTCGTGCATTTCTGATCTAGCAAAATCCGGTTTAAGATACTCTTACAACGGTGTAATAAACCAACATGTAAAAGAGGGTTAATGCACCTTTTTGTAGAAGCACAATGACGAATTTAAAGCCCGAACCGTAGGACGAGGTCTTCAATAAGTCCAATGGGATTTGCTTTTGAATGTATTTTACTCCGTTAAAGCTGCATTTTATAAAAATGTAAAGATATTCTGCCGTTGGCCTAAAATCCAAGCATTCTACAGTTTCAGAAGTTATGATTTTCAGCATTCCATCTTTAACGGTATATTTCCGCATTGTATAACGAATGCTTTCTTCAAATTATGTTTTCTCTTATCTATTAAATTACCCTTATAGAGTTAATTTTGATCGTCTCACAAAACAGAGTACGGGAGTCGATATAAAACCTATTGTATGAACGAAATGTAGCTATTTGTTATTTTAATGAAATCTATAAAATACAGCATAAATGCAAACTATTTTATACTAGATAACGACAATATCATATAAACAGCATTCGTATGTGCTTTTTAGGAACTCTTTTTTTATCCGAACTATTTTCGTAAATTTCTATAAGTAGAAACACATGTTAGATTCTATATACTATTAGTATTTGTAATAAAAAGGGAAATTTATATATTTTTATGTTTTATTTATGCTTAGATTCAAATCGTACCTTGGAAAGACAGCGTTGTTCTGTAACTTATTGAAATGAGACCCGTCCAACCAGGTGTATTTAGAATGACTGCTATAATACTTTAATCCTATCCAAACTCTTGCTGTCACTCTGTAATAATAATAATAATAATAATAATAATAATAATAATTATAATAATAATAATAATAATAACAATACACTTTAAAAAATTACACCTCAACTATATATTAAATGTATTTGATACCGGAAAAGTGATAGTCAAAAGAATTCACTTTGAGATGCTATTTTGATACTTACACGTACTTGTTTCACCATTTTATTATTGTTTATTTACTCTTACTATCAGACAAAATGTTAATTTTGCAGGAGAAAATCTATTGTTCTCATATAAAATGTAACAAAAAATGTATCAATTCATAAACTTTTTAAAACTAAGCTAATTTTGGTCAGTTTATTTGGTCAATACAAAAAAAGTAAAGTGATGCCATAAATGCCATCTATTTCACATACATATATCACACCACGGTGTTATTAAAATAGTTTTCAAAAAAGGACAAAGTAGCCGATTGGTTAAGTTTTTCGAACCACTTGCCCCTCATGGTCTGGGATTCGCATCCCGTCAGGGACTTTGGATTCTTTATTATGAAAAAGTTAATAAGCTAATAATCTTTCGGAAAGTCGGTTGTTCCGTTCAAGTGTCCGTTCGTGCTTGAAATAATACACGGAGGGGCTCATTTGGTCTTTCTTCACCAATGAAACTGAAAGGCCACATATGACCTAAAAGCGTCGATGATGAAATAAAAAGATAATTAATAAAACAATGAATGTCTGGTTCATAGTTAACGTAAGCCTTTGGCTTCATTTAAGACTCGCTATACTAACACTTACCCATTTGACAGGAGGAGATGATTTTCAGAGTATGGAGTCTTCATAAATGATAGGTCTGCACCTAGTCTTTTACAGGTTGATCTAGCTTCGGCCCAGCTACTAGAATTAGGGGTTACGTATAAACATTGTGTGTCGAAAACAAACCATCCATCAAATGTTGGACAATCTATTTAAATAAAATCAAAGTATTGATGAAAGGCGATTTTGTATTTTGCAAGATTATGTATCAATTCAAACACATTTCATACAATTCTTAGAGGAGTATCCTAGTTAAAAGTACATATCTCGTCTACATTATGGTCACCGCTCACAGTGACTTTGTAACGATGCGAGTCTTATAAACTACTGAGGATTGTTAATATTCTAGTAACATAAAGAGCTCGTGCGCGTTTGAAACGCATGTTCTGTTTAACGATTATAGCAGCAACTTTTGAAAACACCAAATATGATGTTGATAATATGATGTTTATATTTTTTCCGAAAATTGTTGTGTTCTTAAATTAGAATATTATTTCTGTCAGCTTTCGATCAGAATTTCTAAAACGGCACTAGACTATTTTGTGCGCGCATTGATTTTGATAGATAGTTCTGGGAAAATATTGCATAATAAGCCGAATTATCACCTTCCTAACATTTTGCATCGTTGACACATTTTCTTTTTTAATCCATGTATACTTTTTTTTTCATCAAAATTTCATAAACAACATAAGCGGCATATATATTAATATATAGAATCGTTAACAAGGTTCTGGAAACGCTCATGAACTAAGTTTGAACATAATTTGAATTAAAGAATAAACATTTTTCGTTATTAATAATGTACATACAAATTTATTGCACATTTCACAAGATATTCAGAACTGTTTCGTAGATTAGTTACAATATAAAGGAGAAACTTATATCTACCTTTTATCTCAGATTCACATATATATGGGAGGTCATTAGAGCACTTGGTAGGATCCCATATACCCATCATTGTGATTGCTGCACAGTCCTCATCTAGATATTCAATCAAAAGAGAAGTAAATGACGAATCACATTCAACTGTAGACTACCCAGAGTTATTTAACTTGTTTATAACAAAACTGTTGGCAAACGTTACATTCTTAATAGGTACATTATAAAGGTTAACTACGAGTAAAATATTACAGCCACACAATTATCTACTTCATGTAATGGAAAGTAATTATATAGTTTATTTACATGTATATATGTGGCTTTAAAAGCGACAGATGATGCCAAACCTTCATGGTGTTTGACCAGTATGTAATAGTTACCGTACTATGAATAAGTCTGCATAGTATTTACAGACCCGAGTGGCGATTTGAAGACCGAGAGAGCGTAGCGATCGAGGTTTTTAAAAGGCCACCGGGTCTGTAAATACTATGCAGACCTATTCCGACTGCGGTAACTATCTTACCTACATGCTCTTTCGTTTTACTATCCAAACATCAGTTTATATTTATCAATATAAATCACAAGAAACCATTCATTTATGTACTTCATCATGTATAAGAATGCATTCCGAAGCCATTCAAATATACCAACCGCTACGCTCTTGTAATTCATTAGTGCACAAATCAGGTGTAACAGTTATTTGAATATTCTCGTTTTTTTCGTGGGGTTTCATTATGTATTAAGGCCAGGTAAATGTACCTGTTGAGAGTTTCAAGTCATTGATATAAAGAGGGTAAAGGTAAGATTATTATTTTGTAATACATGTATGTATATATAATATAATAATAATAATAATATACAAAATATATTGACATAGAATGCTTTATCTTGATATATAATGAATTTCATGGTAAATATATGATCCGCCTATTTTAGATATAAAATTTACGATTATGTTCAAAGGAAAGTAAGTGACAGGCTTTTGTGAATATAAATAAATACTAATAATACATGTAGTTAAACTGTCTTGTAAGTTTGTTTGTTTAGGTTTTTTTGTTGTTATTTTTTTTTCATGTAGGCGTTTTATAGATGGCGGATTTTAAATATGCTTAGTATTTCTTCATGTTCGGAAGAATTTTCTTTCGGTGTATTCTCTATAAGAATCATTCCCCCTTCTTCATATGTTTGATAAGATCGTTTATATCCCATAATGCAGAATTGTTAAAATAACGCAGGATTGTGCAACAAAATCTGACAGAATTGTGGAAATAAATGCCGAAAACTAGTATTATATGAAGCTAAATAGTTCGGTAAAATGTGTTTATACCGAAAAGCAAACTATAATGAAGGTCTTTATGCGCGTTATATCGGCAAAACAAAAACTTATACTCAAGAACGGTAGTCAGGTCGGTTTTCTTAAAGCAAAAACTATCATATGAGAGCTAGAATATGATGTCCTACCAGCCGTATGCGCTGATTCATTTCTTTTAATTTGATGAACATGTACTTTAATTTTTATATATCGGTCCTATTCCCCCACCCATATTTGCACAATTCAGAGTTATTTTTTGCATAATTCCTGCATTATTTCAACATTTCAGTGTCATTGGATATACGTATACGGGGATTATTATGTAATGCTTAATCTTAAATGCACGAGTTTCACATATTTTCTTTTGTATAGAGAACAATAGAACAATAACAGGTCGGTATCTATTTGCAGACCTGTTAAGCGGTCGGTAAGTGATTTACTAGACCGCTTTTAACAAAGGAGCCGGTAGGTAAAGACGTTATCTGGAACTCTGCCTTGGTTTTTGCCAACTAATCTGTAGGTACAAACTTACTTTACCGTTATAGCTTCACGGTGCACTACCTGTCACAATAGTGAGCATGTGTCGCTTATTGTCGAAGTTGTTACTGTAAAAGTTTGTTTGTACCCAAGTTATTAGCTAGGAAAAAACCAAATATTCTTAATCCGATAAGTACGTATTAAATATACGAGGGTGTAGGGACTGTTATTAGCATGTCACGTCTAATAACGGTATATTTTGCACTTTTAACAGGTTACTTAAGTTTATACCAACGTTTAATGAAATCGTGCATCGTGAGAAATCATTACCTGAAGCTATGTTGGTGATATTCAAGTGATTTAGCGATGTGTTTAAAGTATTTGTCCATCGCCAATTTGTTCCCTACAAACAACAAAATTATAATTCACTTACTTCCTACTCAAATGTTGTTTCTGTGAATATTTTTGACGACAAAGAAAGAATTGCAAAAAAGTTAATTATTTCATAGATTTTACAATGACTTTTATACAAAGTGTCTTCAAGAGCATAAAAGTTGAAAAGGCAAGGCCAGATTTTTATAAATAGCAATGAAGTTCTGTATGTTAACTTCCTTACATATCTTTTATCTATAAGCAAACGATAACAAAAATGCCAAAATTTTGGGTAAGGATGATGGAATAGTATAGTAAAAGACTTGTATTTTAAGTTCATTTAGAGAAAACAAAGCACTTAAATTTTTAAAGTAACCGATCCAATGATTGGTGGTTGCTAACGATGACATCATTTGAAGGATAAACGTTTGTTCCGTGATGTCATTTATTGTTACTAGAGCTGATTCCATGGCGACACACTGTTGCCTTGCATGGTTCCAAGTTTCTGTTGTATCAAGTACTCGGTAGCATTTTCCCCTATCTTCTACCCAACCTTGGTAACAGAACAGCTCGGCTAGAAGTTCATCCAACAAACATAATAATAAATATCGTTTGATCGATAGAAAATGTTTTTGTTGAATGCATTTATTTATTAAATAAAGCCCGTACAAATTATTAATACAGTATTCGTAATTATTAGTATATCATCAAATCATCACACTAAAGCAGTTAACAACAAAACAAAGACCCTTACAAAACAAGAAAACAACACAACAAAGATCCCCTACCTTCACACCCTCACAAAGAAATAGAACATAAAAAATATAACTATAATAAATAAATAAATAAAATTAAATAAACAAGAGCCATGTCAACATGGCCACCCCCCGCCAAAAGTGTTTGCTCATTGGAAGAATGTATATGTAGTAGAGCAGAATAATTCAATTTTAAGAGGTCTTTTGGTAATGAAAACTGATGGTTGAAGTGATTAGAGATTTGAAACCTATGTGAATACTGATGGCTGAAAACAACAAAGGGCAATAACTGAAAAATAATGCAGGATAGGTTATCATTCTTGTGCACTGCACTCCTCCTCAATGAGATCCATCAACCTATGAAGTTTCAAGTTGATACCTCAAATACTTTTTTGAGATAAGCTCCGGACAAAATAGTATGAAAAAGAACAAAGGGCAATAACTCAAAAATTGTATAGGAAAGAGTTATTATTCTTGTGCACAGCATTCCTCCTCAATAAGATCTATCCATCTATGACATTTCATGTTGACATCTCAAACACTTTTTGAGTTATGCTCCACTCAGGTGAAAAATTAAGTATGAAAAATAACAAAAGGCAATAACTCTAAACTTATGAAAGGTAGAGTTATCATTCTTGTGCACTGCACACCACCTGAGTGAGATCTATGCACCTATGAAGTTTCATGTTGATATCTCAAAGGCTTTTTGAGTTATGCTCTGGACAAAAATTAATTTTGAAAAATAACAAAGGGCGATGACTAAAAAATTATGCAGGGTAGAGTTACCATTCTTGTGCACTGCACTCCTCCTCAGTGAGATCCATCCACCTATGAAGTTTCAAGTTGATACCTCAAATACTTTTTTTTAAATAAGCTCCGCACAAAATAGTATGAAAAAAACAACAAAGGGCAATAACTCAAATATTATATAGCGAAAAGTTATCATTCTTGCGCACAGCATTCCTCCTCAATAAGATCTATCAACCTATGACATTTCATGTTGACATCTCAAACACTTTTTGAGTTATGCTCCACTCAGGTGAAAAATTAAGTATGAAAAATAACAAAGGGCCATTACTCAAAAATTATGAAAGGTAGAGTTATCAGTCTTGTGCACTGCACACCTCCTGAATAAGATCTATGCACCTATGAAGTTTCATGTTGATATCTCAAAGGCTTTTTGAGTTATGCTCTGGACAAAAATTAATTTTGAAAAATAACAAAGGGCAATAACTCAAAAATTATGCACGGTAAAGTTATCATTCTCATGCACTGCACTCCTCCCCAATGAGGTCTATCCACCTATGAAGTTTCAAGCTGTTACCTCAAATAGTTTTGAGATAAGCTCCGGACAAAAATGTCGGACGGACGGACGGAGACTATTTCTATATCCCCCGCCGCCTTTTCGGGCGACAAGCAACAGCCTCATATAAAACCGTTAGTAACATATTGAAGTTGTCTTATTTTATACTATAATATACTTTACGATATAATAGATACTTTAATAAGAACAAGTAAGAGTTGTATCCACATATTCTTTGAAGAGCATACCCATTCTTTTCATTAGCCCGTTCTTATTAACATTATGGAAGTTGATACACATACAATGAAAAAATTCACGTTTTCTAGACAGGGACAATTGTCACAAACCTGTTTACATCTATTGAAGTACTATTTAAAAATACAGGTTGTTATAAAAGTGATATATAACATAAATTGATAGTACTATTAGGCATATACGTTATTTTTATATTCCATTAAGAAATAATTATCAATTTCATCACAACTTGTTGCGAAAGGTAAGTTAAATTTTATGTTACCTGTGCTATAACAGGAAATCTCGAACACAATGATATTTATCGATATCTGAAACGAGAAAAAGTCAACGGAAATACTTTTATTATGTTATATAATATTTCGCCGGGCCGTTCTTGAAGTTATTCGGTCAAATTGTTTTCCTAGTTAAAACAAAGTTCAAACATAAAAGAAGGCTTGTTCCTGCGATGAAAATAATTGTGTCTGACAATACTCATCAAAATGATTGGCTTCGATGTCGATGACTGAATATCAATTTGGAAAACAAAAAAAATATATATAAAAATATAGAAGGTATAATTGGTAGATCATTTTAGAGCAACTAAAATTAGCAATCAGTAATTTAAATGTGTAGAAAAAAACATACTCTTTTAATGTAAATATACTTTTATATAATGTGCAAAATATTTACAAAAGAATAGGCTTAACAATATCGTGAACTCATTTTTAAAGGCAGACACGATATCTTCTAAAACAAAGGCGAGCGTTTTTATTTTATTTAAGAAAGAAAAGCTTTATTATAATTCATAACAAATAACGCTTTTGAAATGTTGATGAAATGAACAAATAAACCGCTGGATTAATAAGTAATCATGAGTAAATGTTCAATAATCTGCAATATAATTTTCATTAACCAGTAATCATTTTCGGTTTAAATCCTATCACAAAAATGGTAACATTAATAAATATAACTTATCCTAGCTAATGGAATCTTACATCAATGTATCAAACAAAATATATCTATTTATTATATACTTACAGATGAAATATTGAGAAATATTGATGAAATAAAATGCATAGTTTTAAATTCCGTAATTTCACTGTAAAAATTTATTTTCACTGCAGTGAAACATATTTTCCCATTCACTGATGGCTTGTCGGACCACTTTCTTATAAATTCAGCCAATGGGAATGCTTTCTATTCACAAGGTTAAAAAAGAGAAAAGGTATATAATAAACAGTAAATTCAAGGTTTTTCTATTCATACAGGATTTATTTTCATCTTGTGGTATGAAAATTACCATATTTCACTCGTGGCTACTGCCATTCGTCAACTATTTATTATCATACCACTCGATGAAAATAAATCTTGTATTAAAAGAAGAAACTTGAATATCCTTTATCTATTACGTTTACATCATGCCAGTTAATTATCATCTTTTATCTCATGGCTCTCTAAAATATAACCATATAATTATTGCTATGCAAGAACATTATTAAAAAAAATATTTATTTATTTTTCAAGTAAAATTTCTTGCATGAAGAGTAAAGTCATAAAAAATAACAATTTAAAATAAGGCGTTTTAAAAGAATTATGATAAAAATAACAGAAACTAGACATACCAGTAGTTTCCAACACATTTTCAAATTTCTATTCAGATTCATACAGATCTTTTCGACTTGTTCTGCACATGCGCATTTATATTGAATATCGACAAGACAGGAAAATCAAACGTTGCCAGGAAAGTGGGATAATTTATATTTGTCAAGTCAGACGCAACAGTCATTTGTAGTTCTATCTGTAAAGTAAATGCACTGGCCATATGGATTTCACTGACATTTTTGCAAATAATTTAACATGGTAATTGTCATTTCGCATAATTAACGACTTCTTTATTTCTTGTTTAATTGTTTAACTTTGCCATGGTTATCGATCTCTTCTGCAAGACAGTTTGGTACTTGAAACTTTGATTAATCTAGAATATTTACATTCACAGTTATTACATAGGTCTTACTTTCAAATGTATTAAAATTTTCATATTTTAAGGCAAATTGCGGTTTAATTCTTCTTAAAACATGTATACGATGTAATAATTAAAATATTAAAATAATTTGACTTAAATACATTTTAATTAAAAACGTTTTTTTTTCGCAAGAGCTTGAAATACTCTCTCAGGAACAAGGGAGGTAAGAACTGTATGTTTATCGGCATTCGCCAAAAGTTAATTGATTCCCTTGGACCATTTTAACAAATGATTATACATAAAATCAGTCATATTTGTAACTATGTCTTACGTGTCGTAACAGTTATTTGCGTTATTACCTGCTAAAGATTTGCCAGTTGTTCTCATTTTAACACTTAAGAAATATTTTACCTACGAACAATTAAGTGATCAGAATTTAAACATTTAATTGTCGTTTGTATTTCCTTTTTTCTCATATAGAAATTTGTTAATATTTCTTTTTAGTCCCCTACCGGTTTAACCGGAGGGGACTTTAGGTTTACCCTCCGTCCGTCTGTCTGTCTGTCCGTCCGTCTGTCTGTCTGTCCGTCCGTCAGTCCGTCCACAAAACTGGATCCCGCGATAACGCAAAAAGTACTGAAAATATTTTTATGAAACTTGATATATGGATAGATGGCAGTATGGAGATGATGCACGTCTTTTTCTTTTCTTCCTATGTTGAAAATTCTGGTTGCTATGGCAACAAATAGTCTGAAAATATGGTAAATTTAACACATAAACTGGATCCAGTGATAACTTAAAAAGTACTGAAAATATTTTTATGAAACATAAAATATGGGTAGATGGCAGTCTGGAGATTATGCACATCTTTTTCTTTTCTTCCTATGTTGAAAATTCTGGTTGCTATGGCACAAATAGCCTGGATTTCAAGATTTCTGATTTAATTTTTTCAGCTTTTTCACTATAAGTTCTTTATTTCTTAAGGTGTTTACTTCAAACTTTAAATATAAGTTTCTGGTCATCAACCACATCATATGTGACAAGGTTTACAACTCTAGCACAAAAACTATCAGTATTACCTCCCTTGAACTTAGAATTTTTATGAAAAAAAATGTTGTCTTTCTTAAATAACTTCTTTATTTCCTAATGTATCTACTTCAAACTTCATATATATGTTTCTTATTATCACTCAATATTTTTGAGAAGGTTAAATACTCTAGCAAGACTATTTCCAGAATTATGTCCCCCTTGAACTTAGATTTTTTGTCGAGAAATTGGTATTTTTTACTCCAACTTCTTCATTCCTTATAGGATTTACTTTAAAATCCCACATCGTAATAATATGACAAGGTTGTATAAACATAATTGCCTTACTAGGCAGGGAAACTTAACACATTTCTGTGAAGAACTCAAAAGATTTAAGTTCATTCATGTCATTCATTCACTGGTAAAATTGAAATCAGAATGTTGCTGGGGTTCTAACTGGTAGGGGACTTATGGATTGCTTGCAATACTATGATAATTGCTTGTTTGTTTAGGTACTTATTGTATGCGACTGATTAATTTCCGATTTATATTTTTCATTATTTTTGTAGTTTATTCCAATTCACGTACTAGCTTTTAAAGGCACATCATGCCTCAGAAACAAATAACTGTTTTACTTCTTTAGAAAGGGCAATTGTGAATTCTTTAATGTTTAAATAATGGTTTTAGAGAATGTTAGATGCTTGTTACATGAAAAAAGTAGCAATAAATGTGGAACGATTTGTCATAAAAGAAGCAAAATTTAAACAAATTAGTACATGTATGTTGACTTCAATGCAAAATACTAATTATAATTCACTATAACTGTACATATTGCCAGAAAGCAACAGATGAAAAAGATGATTCAGGTAATTGCCTTATGAGTAACTTTATGATACTATACATGACCACCAAACTTAAAGCGGAATGCCACAAGTTGCCATTTTCACACCGTACAATCAAATGGGAAGACAACCGTTCAACCGTCGACAGCCGTACTATAGTCTGTCCCATCAAATTTGAATATTCCATTTTTTATTTAATATAATAGTAAAATCATTTAAATTAATGTCATGTTAACCCTGACGTCAATATCTCTAGGCATGTTTTTCATTTTTTTCCCTAAAGTCAGCAATATGGTCAAAATGTTAAAATTATATTTTTTCCCGTTGACTTACGTTGTAACCTGACGTGACGTCCATTTCAAAATGGCGGCGCCCATATAGACGTCATTTAGGGTTCGTCTCACAATTGGCGTGAAATGTACTCGGTTATTATAAAAAATTGATTATTCTTATTTATTACATGCTTTTCGGTGGTTTATAGAAATATATCAGTGAAATAAAAACTGATAATTTCACTGTTTTAAACAGTGAAATTATCAATTTGGTAATTTCACTGTTTTGAATATTTGAGCCCGTTACGTTGTTTCTGTGAAATACAAGCGTTCACAGTTCTGGAAACCAACTTAATGTGACGTCGTAAATGACGACACGTTGTATTATTATTTGGCGCCCTTTTCATTTAGTACTAGGTTAAAATGTCTTTTTAAACGTTTCTTTGCATATAATAAAAAGAAAATTTGTTTAAATTAATGTAAGATCGAAATATATTTCACCTCGTGAACACCAAAAGTTCACATTTCACTCGTGGCTGCGCCACTCGTGAAATATACCTTTTGGTGCTCACTCGGTTCTTACACTGAACTAAACAAATATCCTCTATTTACTTACTGATCAATAGCTAAATGTTATCATTGAAAAAGGTCAATCGAGGCTAATATACTTATAATACTTACTATGCAAACGTAAGGTTCCTTTCTATTTAACAAATATTTTTCTAGTTAAAACAAAAATGAGAAAAAAAAATGAAACGTTAAAAATATAATCCGCAGACATATTTTTCCTTCTGTTTTTACGCAATATCACTTCAATGGAATATTTAGTAATTAGAAATATTCACTTGATAAAAGGAAACGATATGACCCCCCCCCACAAAAAACAAAAACAAAACAAAACAAAAACAACACAAAAAATGGTGATTGACCGCAAGATATAATTGCATGGTATACAAGTTAATTTGCGCCCTAGTTCTTCACAGACCAAAACCACTGAAATGTATGAAAGTAATAACTTATTGCGAAATCAATCATCATCATCAGTCATTTCGGCGTATTTTAATGTTGTGAAGACTTAATGGCTGTTGAAATATTTATAAAGCGTTTCTATGGAATTAATACTCCTCCCATACCTGAACTGAATATCGTTCATATAATGGAATAACTTGTATCATTTGAGATTGATTTGTTGGAATGAAGAATTAAAAAAAAAATCTGGCCATGGTATGCT